CTGGTTATCATTTCTCTTCTATAATATGCTTTTTGTAGTCAGACCTACAGAGGCATTTTCGGACACAATCTGGATTTATATCTATTCCATATTCTCAAGATGGCCTGCCTAACAAAATGATTTTTAAAGTCAACATTAGCTTTAGCTTTATCATACCATAAATAACCATACCACCCAAACCTCAAATCATGTCCTTCTAGCTCCAATAATCTTCTATTTCTCAACATCACCCACTCTTTCAACCAAACTAAACAGCAAGCTGCAAAGTATAATTTCAAATCAGGTAAACCCAAACCTCCTCTATATCTTTCTGCCACTGTTTAATTGGTATATCAGTTTTCAAAACAGGTATTATCTGAAACAAAATAACATTGTAGGCAAAACATTCATCTTAATCACAGAAATTCTCCCCAACAATGACAACTGTAATTTATCCCACTGTAACATATCTTCTTTAACTTCATTCCATGTCTTCACATAATTATTTTTAATAACATACAGTTCATATTTGTCAAAGTAACAACTAAATATTATAGCTTTTTCTCAATCTTGAAACCCTTTTTGTTCATCAAGTTTGTTTGATTTTGTGCCTTCATATTTTTTGTTAGTATCTTTGTCTTTTGTTTATTAATCTTAAAACTAGCTAATGCACCTAATTCTTTTAATTTTCTCATTAGTGGTTCAGTCCCCTTTAAAGGACCTTCCAAAACCAGCACCAGATAATCTGCAAAAGCTCTCAACTTGTCTCTTTTTTAATTTTTACACCTGTCATCCTCTCATCATGCCTTATATCTCTATTCAAAACCTCCAGAACCAAAATATACAGAAGAGAGGATAATGGGCAATCCTATCTTGTTCCTTTTTGTATCTCACAAGGTTTTGTTAGATCACTATAACAATAATTTGTGCTGTCTGTAAAGTATAAATTGATTTTACTCATTTTATAAAGTTCTCTCCAAAGTTCATATCTTCCAAAATTTTAAATAAAAAGGGCCAATTTAAATTGTCAAAAGCTTTCTCTGCATTTAAGAAAATGAATGCAGCTTGTTTTTCATTATGCTGATCCAAGTATTCTATAATATCCAACACCGTTTTGATATTGTCTTTTAACTATCTATTAGGTAAAAATCTGCATTGATCTTCATAAATAAATTCTTGCAGAATTATTTTCAAACCTGTTTGCTAAAGTCGTTGTAAACAACTTATAATCATTATTCAATAATGATACTGGTCTATAATTTCTTGTTAAAGTGAGATTTTGCCCCTCTTTAGGTATGAATACTGTATTAGCCTCTTTCCAAGTCTCTGGCATCTTTCCTCCCTGTAGTATAAAATTCATCATATTTTGAAGGGGTTGTAAAAGTTCATCCTCAAAACATTTATAACAAGAACTGACAGTCCATCTGGTCCTGGTACTTTTCCTGGTTTAATCTTTTTTATAGCTTCAAAAACTTTCCTTATTCTTATAGGTCCATTCATAATCTGTTTTTGATTTTCTGTAAGCCTTGGTAAATTTTGTTTTGATTTTTTGTTAAGTAATCATCTATTTTTTCCAAGGGAATATCATGTCCTTAATAAAAGTTAGAGTAATACTGATAAAAAGTTTTTTGTATAGCCACATTACCGATTAATACAGTATCTCCCTCTTGAAGTTTCCAAAGGAATAATGTCTTGCAGTAGTTCCTCTATAACGGGAATTCAGAAGCATGTTAACCCTAATCTGATGTGTCAAGACTAACAACCCCTAATAAATCTATTCTTCATGAATGTATCCAAAGCCTTTAAAAGCTTTCCTACATTGGGAGACCCTTCAGACAGTTACTCACACTCTGGTCACCTTGCAGCTTGACTTCTGCAATGTGCTCTACATGGGGCTGCCCTTGAAGACCACACAAAAGCTTTAACTAGTCCAGAATATGGCAGCGCGAGCAGTGTTGGGCATGCCATGGTATGCCTATATAACATCTCTGCATTGAGAGCTGCACTGTTTGCCAATTCGCATCTGGGTGCAATTGAAGATGCCATGTATTGGCACCACAGAAGCACACCTTCTCTGTCACAGTGCCGGCCCTCTGGAATGACATTCGGGTGGCTCTCACCCTACTGGCATTTCGCCCAGGTCTTTGGCCAGGATGGACACTAGTCCCCTTCGAGGAGCGGGGGGGGGGGGGGGGGGGGGTTGGTTGCTGCCCGGTTTTGCCATCTTTGCTTCTTTTTTTTAATAGCTGTATTGTTTTATAATTTTTCATGGTTTTTTTCTGTGAATCAACCATATTTATTGGGAGTCGGGCGGTGTACAAGTTGAACTAATAAATAGTTACACTCACGAGGAAACTTTTCTTGACTTCGTGTCCTACGCCCGCTATGAAAAAGAAGATCGGGGTTCAACCACAGCCTGTCTTTTATATTGGGCCGGCTGCTCATCACGAGCGAGCCAAATAGCAACGGAACAAGAACGGCGAGATCACCTGTTTAACTCGCTGCTTCAGCCTGGGATCTCCTCCAAGAGGATGACTTCCTCCGCGATTCCGCATCGCAGCTTCCCACGTGCCAAATTCAGTCCTTCTTTCAGGCAAAGCTTTTCCGGACGAGAATAGGCCCCCAGCTAAGGCTGCCTTTGAACAGCCTAAATGTACTGGCAGCCGCGAGGCTCTCCAGGCCGTCCTGCTAAATGGCGGACTATGATTACCTCTGAGGGAAACTGTTAAGTTTCAGTGTAAAGGGAAAGAAATGAGCAGAAAGCAGTTCATTCGGATTTCTATACAGGCACTTTCTTAGACGCCTATAGAGGAGTCTGAGTCACGGAAGTCCACGTTTTGTCGTTCTCTCGGGCGTCCTTGTTGATTTTACCCGTAATTTCTTTGGGTTCTCGAGAGAACGGGCGCTTCCTTTATGTGCCTAAGAGGGACTTCAATTCCCAGCGCGCAGTGCGAAGAAATCCTTTCCAAATAAATGGATAATAGGGGGGCAAATCATAGGAACTGAAAGGAAGAGGTGGAAGCGCCGCTACGGCAGCCGCGAAGAGACTAGAGAGGCGGGGCGGCTACGGTGGCCGAGGGGACGATCGGGGCGGGGTCTGTGTCTGTAGCAGGATGGAGTCGATGGTGTTCATTTTTTCGCTCATTGATTGCTGCGCCCTGATTTTCCTTTCTGTTTACTTTGTATCCTCTTCATTTGTTTCGGCGAGGGGTCTCGGAACTGGAGAGCGGTGGCGACCAGCCCTTCCACCCTTTCTCTCTTTCCTCTGGTCTGCGGTTGGAAGGGCAGGGAGAGGATCTGGCCGAGGCGGAGCATTAATGGCGGTCTGGCAGAGGCAGGGGTAGCGGTAGGGGCAAATGAGGGTGCGGGGCCCAGCAGCGGCAAGAGCTGGTTGGGGAAAGCGAGGGAGAAGCTGCCTTTCGAGTGACGTGGTAGAGAGGCTGAGGCTTAGGAGGCGCGATTGGAAGAAAGGTGGGGCGTCTCTGGGGGAGTGAGAGGAATTGAAGGCACAGCCAAGTGAGGGCGAGGCAGGATCCATCTCAGAGCCATGCAGACTCTGAAGCGTGCTTTCGCTTTCTCCAGGACCTACACAGGTTGGACATAGCGTGTCCTGCTTCTTACTTGGCTAGCTGTCAAGTAATCATTGTCAAAAATGCATCTGCATCAGTCTTTCACAAATCCCCGCCCCCCAGGTATATTGTTGCAGGGGGTTGACTGCATGTTGTCTGTTGAGGTCTGGTAGAAGCAGGCTGGGAAGCCTTATACTGTATCTGTATTGGTTGCAGAGGATAAGGAGAACAAGGAGGCTTCCTTCCTCTAGAAGGCCACAGTTTTTAGATTAGCTGCAGAAGAAAGATACAATGCTTCATCCCCTTTTGATAATTTGTTCACCGAACTGCTTGATCTTCAATCAGAAAGAGCAGTCTTTCTGGTTGCATTCTGTTTGGTTATCACAAACAGCCAGGCTTGTGCTTAAGTGTAAGACTTGTCCAGATAATGCTGTGGGTCTCAGTTGGTGGACCTAGTTCACTGTGCTTGTTCTTGATGCCAGCCCAGAAAAGATGGGCATAATATTTCCAGCACATGTAATATGCCCCCATCTTCAAGTTTGCATAAAACCTCTGTGATTGTGATATTGGATAATGCATTCATTGGAGTATAAAGCTTATTGATTGTTGCCTGTTCTGTACAATGGTGATAACTTTTAGTTTTCTAGTTGAAATAACACATTTCTAAAAATTGACACTCATTGTCCTATTGTGGCACATTAATTAAATGTGGGTTAAGATATGTAGAATTGCAGTGAGGTTTCCCTGTAGTGATGGATGCATTTGCTTAGAATTAATTCTGTACAATATTATGATTTTTATTCTGACTATTGTATGAACATTTCAGTGGTTATTTCATGACATAGGATACAAAGGGCAGCTTTTTAAACATGAACTTCAGATACCATTTCAAGCACTTAAAGTTATGTTGTCCTGAAAGGTATTATTTTAGATGAATATCTTTCATGAATATACATTATTTTTATTTTGTCATTAGAGGACTAAACTTTCTAAAAGGAGCTTTTCATCTGACTTTTTAATTTCATGAACAAAAGTTCTTCTGTTTCACTACAGCCTATTTAGGAATTAGGGTGTTTTGTAAAACAGTTTAAAAAGCAAGCTGTTCTTCTGAGTATGTTGTTATTCTGTATGAGTAATAGGTAACTGATATGGCTAAGTAGGGTATGCATCCTTTCATATATAAGGCATAATGAAATGCCTAATATGTTACTATACGTAAGTCTTGCATCAGTTGACTTTGGTCTTAGGCAGCATATTTGTTGATGGTGGCCTGTATTAGGGTCCCATCCCAAATTTTTAAAAGGATATATCTGCTATTGCTCAACATAAAATCCTAGTGGCCTGATATATATGTATCAGATACATATGCATGGTTTCTTATGCAAATAGATAATGATAAAACTTCTTCCTGCATACTAAGCCATCTTTTTTAGGACTGCCCATTCCATGTTTTGCTCTGAAGTTTAAACCTTAGGAATTTTGATTTGCTTTCAACAGATGTTGTTTTGAACAATGAATATCAAACAGTTGATTCAAATTGTGTTCATTAGAATTTAAATAACTCATATTCTCCAAATTCAGACATTACCAAACTTTAGTTAGTTTAAATCTTGAAGCAAATAGTTTTAACTTCTTGCTGCACAGCCAGCTGTTGGCAATTGGCTTCTGAGTGCAATTCAAGGTGCTGGTTATTATCTATAAAGCCCTGTATGGCATAGGGCCTGGATATCTGAGGGACTGTTTATCTCCAATTTTTTCTGTCCATGCAGTATATTCTAGCAGAGTGGGTGCATGGGGTCCCCTCTATTAAATGTTGTCATCTTATGGGAATGAGGAAGTGTGCCTTCTCTGTTGCAGCCCCCACCTTCTGAAGCAGCAGCCCCTCAAAGATAAGGACATCATCCTTTCTCCTGAGGTTCTGGAAAGCTCTTAAAACCTGGCTTTGGTCCCAGACCTGGGATTAATGGATTGTTGTACTTTGGGGGGGGGGCAGTTTTGTTTGATTTGTGTTGCTTTTAGATTGTTTTAGTCCAGGCTGTCTGTGTGGTTTTAGTTTTTTTGTGTTTTTATGGATTTTTTTTTGGTTTATTTTGTGTCCTGCCCAGAGTCCATTGGGGTTAGTTTTTTTCTGTTTTTATGGATTTTTTTTTGGTTTATTTTGTGTCCTGCCCAGAGTCCATTGGGGTTGGGTGGCTATAATAAAGTTAAATAAATACATACAGGTAGTCCCCAGTTTAAGAACAAGTTCCGTTTCCAAGATCTGTCCTTTGGTCAAATTTGTATGTAAGCCAGAACAGTATTATTGTATAATATTGTACAGGTAGTATTGTGTGATGAACTTGAACCATTGTGTATTTAACTGGAATCATTGTGTATTTAACTCAAATTTTGCTACAATAGGCTCTGTTTTTAAGTATGGGTCATCTGTAACCCAGGCATTCTTAACCCAGGGACTACCTGTACACAGGGTGGAAAAGAAGGGAGGAGGATTTGCACTCAGATATTCAGGTAATGGAAAACTGATTTTTTTTTTTTTTTTGCCACATCTGAATCAGATCAGTAAGTTACGGCTTGTGCCCCAGCAGGAGTTCTGCCATACATATTAAAACTTTAAAATGGTTATACAAGGACAAACTCACAGAGCAAACTGCTTTGTGAAATGAGTGATTAGTATGTCCCAGCTACATCTATATTGTGCATGTTATAGTTTGGGGTTTGGATGGTATTAGATGAGTAGTAGGAGTGTGGATTCTGCTGTTATCTGTGACTTTTGCAAAATGCTTGCCTGCTTCTGGAAGTCCTAAGCTGCAGACCTGCTTGCTGATTTTTATATAAAAATCTCCTCATGGTGCTATTTACAATTTGCACAAATTGTTTAATTCTTACCTGGAAGGGTCAGGGGTATAGCTGCCATAATAGTTGTTCTTATCTTGATAATCAGATAATTACACTATCAGATTTGGAATGTGACTACATTAATGCCAGATCTTGCTGCTCAAAACTAAATAAAGTAAGTTGTTTTTCCTTTTCTCTATTTTTTTAAATGTTATATTATTAATACAATAATGTAGTAAATGTTGTAAATTTTTACAAGTGTTGTATTATTGGCCCCAACAGTAAAAGGCATGTTGCCAGAGAATGGCTTCTATGTTGGTTATGCATCTGGGGTTGTTTTAGTTTTCTCCAGAGGGCTCCTTTATGTTCAGTAAATAGAATATGCAAACCAACATAGCCCAAACATAGTTTCTTTGGAAGCACTGGCAATTCCTATTTCTAAACATATAAGAATGTATGTAGGCTGTAGTTCTATGGCTATCTGAAGATAACTAGTGTTGTACTCGGTAGGATTAGCAGACATAGGACTGCACTGGTGGTAGTTGAAAGGGATATTGTGATTATATGTAATTCATAAACGCAGGAATGAGTGCTTTGGGAAAATGTCTTTCTAGAGCAGGAGTAGCCAACTTATGTCCTTCAGAGATTTTGAATTAACCCATCAGCCTCATTGCCAAAACATTGTGGGACTTGCAGTTCAAACTTATGTCCAGCATTAGATTGTTTGTACTCTTTAAACATTTTCAAAAAATATTGTTAATTCATCTGCTTTCTATTATTAATTCAGAGAGGGACAACAATAAACCTGGAATTGCTTCCTTAATAGTACTTTTCTTAGTACAGAAAGCAAGAATCACTGATGTGGGGAAAGATGATAATCTTGGAGACCTAATGCTAGAATCTGGATTGTCTACATCAGTGTTTCTGAACCATGGTAACTTGAAGATGTGTGGGCTTCAATTCCCAGAATTCCCCAGCCAGCATTCAGTTCTGGGAGTTGTAGTCCATACATCTTCAAGTTGCCAAGGTTGAGAAACATGATAGGAGGATTTTCAAATAAGCTTGTACTTATTCCTCCATCTCATTTGTTTCCTTCAGTGTGTCATAAACTTACATTTCCCTTTCTTTGCTGGATGCTGACCATACCCAGTCTTCTCCCCTTGCAGCATCCCACAGTCTGTTTTATGTGTAACTGCTGCTCTCAGAAGACATTGTTCTTTTGTGCTTGCCTTCCCCATTCCTTATTTACTAGTTTATTGTCAGTTACATTAGAGTTGTCTAGAATGTCATCATAGAAGTCTTTATAATTTATCATTTTATTTAGCAACCTGCCCTGGACTAGAATCCATTGCTACCATATGTCAAATGTATATACAGTACTCACCCTTTTTATAGTATTGTCTTGATGCAAGAATTCAGATTCATATGCAGCAAATTCTCAATCATGAAAAATAGAGCCTATTTAAAAATTAGGTTGAAATTTATAAACCTGTTACTAGCATTTCAGTTTACATAGAGCTGCTGAATACATAGGATATATCTCGAGACAGCTGCTGCTTTTGTGGTGGTATTCCTTGTATATCACATCAGAAATGCAGATCAGATTCTTGTAAGGTAGTTCAAATATTCTGATGGCATCCTAGAAGGATAGTCCATAGTTGTAAATGAATATTCTTCAAAGCAGTATTTTTCTAATTTACATCTGGACCATTTGATAGAGGTCAACAGAGTCTGCAAATTGCTGAGTTTTTATAATGAAACGACAATTTTGTAGACCTTTTCTTGTCAGCTTGCAGGTAAAAGACTCCTGCAGAATCTTGTATAACTGTTTAACTTTTTATTTTTTTTGAAAAAATCTCTTTTTGTAGTGGGTGATCCCTGAATTGATTGGCCATACCATTGTCACTGTATTAATGCTTATTTCACTGCACTGGTTCATCTTCCTCCTCAATTTACCTGTAGCAACTTGGAATATATATAGGTAAGACCATTGCTTTGGTGACTTTTTAAATAATTGCATGCTGCTGCTCATATTGTTTTCCTCTTTTATTGAATAGCCTTTTTTATAAAGTCTGCCTTGTTCCATAATTTATTAATCCAGCCATGTCAGCAGGAAGTGATAGAAACTTAACATTACTTTCCCTATCTCATTGGATTTCAGCGTGGATTTTGGATAACACCAACAGTGGATTTACCAGGCCTGTCTTTTCCCAAGGAGTGTATGTGCATATATAACTTCTATTCTGTAAATTCTTAGTACACCATTGTTCTTAAGAAGTTTAAAAAATATTGCGACTTTGAGCATGATAACGTGAAAATCTAGGGCATCATGGATCTTACTCAAAACCCACTTTTTACCACATCCTGAGAAGAAAACAGAACAAAGCCACCTTTGTACTTTGCTAGGAGCAAAAGTGTCATATTTGTTTGTTGGTGTGAAAAATATTTAGTAAATATTTAGTAATGTGGTAGTTAGTAGTTAAGCATTGAATCAGGACTGGGGATACTTAGATTCAACTCTGCGCTTAGCGGTGAAAGCCACTGGATGACTTTGGGCCAGTCTTTCTCAACTCCACCTAGTTCACAGGGTTGTTGATGGTAAAAACAGAAGGGCTTCTTGAGGAAGGGCAGGATATAAATCTAATAAATAAAATACACATATTCAGATGGTGTGAACCACTACTTTTGGAATTTTATCAACTTTGCTTTCACTCAAAGGGGAAAAAGAAGAAACCTGAACTCCCTTTTAAGAATTTCTGTTTGTAAATTATAGCCCAGGCCTAAATTTTGCCTCTTATTTTATTTTTAAACTTTGGCAATACTGCTAGTTTTAGGGTGCATGTAAGATGCTTTAAGATCTTATCTGCCTACATAATAACACTTGACATTATACAGTGTTGAAGCAAAGCAAGGTGTTGATAAATTCTTTGGAAGTGTGTTTCCTGGAAGAAAAAAAAAATGCAGTGTTTCTGCTGTGAATTGACTAAGGGCTGACTTATTTTAGTCTTCTATTTAGTAAACAAATGAAAATGCAGGATATTTTATAAATATCTCAAAAGCTATTTATGCATGTATTTATTTCAAGTGCAATAATTGAACAAAAAAATTATTAAAGTTATTTAAATGTAGTATCTTGAAGATTAGTGACATAAACATTTTAGAGAATTCATCAGTATATAGTTCATTAAACAGTAGCCAAGCTTTAAAAAAAGGTTTAAGGTTGATTGAAAACTGCTAATATGTTAATTTTAACATGGCGGAATCCAGAAATTCATATTTATTGACGAAAACACAGGCTGGCATCAGATTTGAATAAATCTTCAGCTTAATGCCAGTAATGCACCTCCACTGCACAAGGGCCCATGTCTAGCCTATTTACTGCTTCAGAGGCTTGGGAGACACGTATTGAAGTTTTGGGGATACATGATGGGTGCAAAGAGAAGGAAAGTCCTATTGCAAAAGCAGGGTGTATTTGAGTAATGCTAGATGGAGCCTGCAGAAATTGCTGAAAAATACAGAAATGAAGCAGTTTCTATCCCAGCATTGTTGCTACTGGAATTTGAAGCCTTTTTCCAAATGAAGCTCCTCTGTTCTTTTTGCTGTCTTGCTTCATTCTTCTGAAACCTGTCTTCCATTATGCTGCACTGTTCCATCATGCTGTTCTTTGGAAAGAACTCAGCCACCCATTCAGTTCATTTACCTTTATTCTTTTCTCTATCCTGTTTTGTATGTTTTGTGTCCTTTGGTATGGAGATCACTCATCCATTGGGCTGGAGCACAATTGGTACTGAAACAATTTTCCTGAAACCATTTCAGATATGTCATGGTTCCGAGTGGAAACATGGGAGTATTTGACCCTACAGAGATCCACAACAGAGGGCAGCTAAAATCGCACATGAAGGAGGCCATGATTAAGCTTGGTTTTCATCTCCTGTGTTTCTTCATGTACCTTTACAGGTAAATCTCAAGGCTTGCACCTTGAGAAGACTAGTAAAGTTTTTCTTAAGATTCCTATCAGAATACTTCCTTGTTATAATTTTAATGTGGTTTTTTCCTTTGGAAGAGCTTTAATGGAAACAGTCTGTTACTTCTTATCATGCAGTGTATGTAAGATACCCAAACCATTCTACTCTTAACTTTCTCTGTTTATGCCACATTTTCTGCACCTGATGTGAGTACTCTGGTAATCCATATAATTAATTTTTTTTAAAACTACAAAATGTAATTGATTATATGCCACTTTACCTCAGTAGGAACTCTAGTTTCATGGATCTTAGATTTGTTAGAAATACTCTTTTCTGTCCCTTCAGAAGCATTGACAGTTTTGCTGACATAAATTGCAGAAGAGAATAATTCATTTATTTCAAGTAGTACTTTTTGACATGATCTTTCTTTTCATTTTTTTTACAGTATGATCCTGGCTTTAATAAATGACTGAAATTGAAGTGGCAGTATTATGATTGCCAAATTCTGATGTGTCACGCCATTGAAATATTATAAAGCCATGAGCAACTTTCGAGAAAATCTAGACCAGTGACGTCATGCAGTATATTTTTTCCTCTTTGAACAAAACATATTTTTGCTGTATTTTTAACATATAAAATATTTTAGAAATGACAATACTATGTTTCTGCAGCTATTGTTTTGTTCTTACTCCAATCCATTTTCTTACTGTATTTAATTCTGATGTAATGTAAAGATTCTGCAAGAATACCAATGGAACCAATTCACGTATTAGAGTGAAGCAACAGGTATAAGAGTTTCATTGAATAAGGCTTTGTCACATAAAGAGCAGCTTACCAGAGATGAATGACCAATGTTTTCTTTCCTATAGGCAACATTTTAAATACAACCCATTCATGCAATTGTTTAAATTGAAGGCCCCTAATATGTTCAGTGACTAAATATTTGTCAGTTCACTGTCACTCTCCATGTGCACAACCAGTTCCATTTCCTTCCATTTAGACTGCTGCAGCTCACTTTAACATTCAGGACACATATAGCTGCTATGTTTCGAAGTGCTTTTTTAAGCACCTCTTTGTAATACTTTTCACAGCCCCTGTATGTATGCTTGTATATTCATAAAAGTTTGCATGTACTGCAGTATATATGGACAGCCATAATGTCAGTAAGCCACATCCCAATTGAGGCAATCCCATTTGCTGCTGGATACCTTGTCCTAATTAATACAGCTTGCGATCTTCCAAGCTGAAGACGCACCCACCACCACTGGTTCAGTAACAGCCTGATCTTGCTTGTCTGTTAGGCTACAAAAACTAGGCAGCCTGTCTTAAGATTTGGTTGCTCAGAATATGGGGATGGCTTTGTGCTCTGTGTAACTCTGCTTAAGCCTGAGCAGTATGGGCTGGAGCACGGACCACAGGTTCTTTCTCACAAGAATACCTGTGGGGTATACATGGGTTGAGCAGCTGCGTCATCATGTGGATAAATCTTAGAAAGGAACTTCTGTTCCTTTCTAGTGTGAAGTAGAAGTCAAAGCTTATAAAGCTAAGAACTAACCAAATCCAGTTATTTATTTAGTTCATTGAACTGGAAAGGGAATACAAATATTTGTTAATTGCTGTGCACCAACATGGTAAAGTGTAATTAAAAAAAACCCAGACAAGTCAGGAATTAATGTAGTTTGAATTGAATGTTTTGAGATATGCTTAATAACTACATATTTATAAAATAA